GACATTAAAACATCCGTATTCTGTTCTAATATGTTAGTATTTTCTATTTCCGCATACGTTGTTTGGTTTAACGCACTTTCACGTAACTCATTCTCTGACAACTCCTTCCCATAAAATTTAAGTTCATTTTTAAGATTAGAAATGCAATAAGAATGAATCTTGGCCATATTTTCAAGTTGCTGGAATGATAATCATGAATGGTATATATCATATAACCACCTTAGAATATAAAAATTACTTTCGCAATTTACTTGTAAAGGCACAACTGCAAAGATAAGCTATGCAAGGTCTCGAAGATATTTATATTTGTTTTCAATGACACCCCACTACAAATCAGGTGATTTAAAAAAATCATAGGCAAAGTCAAATGGATACTCCCCATTTTTGTAACGAATTAGCAGTGTAGTTAATAGCTGGTATGCAGCTTCATCATTATGTGTACTTTTGTAAAATTTGATGGCTATCTTGCAAATTTGGCAAAATATTCCTTTATGTAAGCCAAGATCTATATATTAAAAAAAAAAATAACAAGTTTTATCAAGTTTTTGATTAGAATATGAAATATTAAAGTTGATCAGGTTTTTTTTTTAGGTTTCAAATTTAAACACTATACTTTTATATCTAGGATGGAGAAAATATGCAAGAAAATAGGGCTTAATATCAAATTTAGCATAACATTTATTAAATATAGTAATGGCCAAGTCATGAAAAATATTATTAGTAGGAATTTTGTTAATCGTTGCAGCCAACTTTACTATATTAACAAAGCAATCTGCAAGATTTGCTGTACGAAATTCTAAATTATGTATTGTTTCCTTAATAGGTTGAATAACGGATACAATTCGATAGCAATTTGTATAGAATATATTATCATTATCATTCAGTATTGAAATAATTACTTTTTTACTAATTGCATTTCGATTACTCTCTAAAATCTAAAAAAAATATATACAGTATTATTAGATAATTCCAAAATTCAATTACTGTAGAACGCTGTATATAGTACTCAGGATACACCTATGTAGCTAATTTTATATATGGGAAAATCCAAAGTGGATATTTCAAATAGCAGATCAGTATAATACAGGCCAAAATTAAAAATTATATCATACTGATCAGTTATAATTAGGATTGTAAAATTGTGTAGGTTTTGGTAAAACAGTTTCTATATAATTAGTAAAAAGGTTTGAAACGCACAAAATTACACAAAATTATATGAAAATGTTAAGATTGTAAAATATAATTTTCAACCCTAGTTATAATTCATACCCTAACGCTAATATATATATAACACCTAGTACTCCGCAAAATCAAATTTTGATTTGATTTTAGGAGTACTAATAACACCAGATCAGTATAATACGAATTCTAAAATTCGGCCTGTACTATACTGACTTGCGAAATACCTTTTTCAATAGGTATTATATTTACTATGTAAGTAAAAGTAATTACACAACCCTATTTTAAAGAATACTATATATAGTGTTGTACAGTATGATAATATAGTATATATCAAAATATAATTACTTTACCTTATCAAAAATGGGCTTTAATCTTACTATTGAAGATGTAGTTCCAAAAATAGAAGCCCATCTTGTTTTACAGTACATTTCTAAACCACCACCATCCAAATTCATATTTTTGATATCATCATGAAGAAGCTGGTTTGCTCTATGTGACTTTTTAAAAAATTGAACTACTTGATTGGCCTGTTTCAAGACGTGATCAACAGGTTGAACTTTTATTATGTTACTTGCAATAAGGTTCAGCACATGAGCAACACATCTTATGTTCCAAACATGTGAATAATTAAATGTTGTAATCTCACGAGCAATACGAATATTGCTTCCGTTATCCATTATACATGCTACAAATTTATTAGAGCCAACTTCTTCAATAACATCAGAAATTTTGAAAGCGAGAAATTCTCTGTTTGTACTGCATCTGAAAAGTCTGATATAGCATATAAATATTCTTTTCGATCTAATGTAGAAATTATAAAATTATATAACAAGTTATTTGCTGAACTTGACCAACTGTTGAGTTCTAATTTTTAAAAAATTATATATTAATAAAATACAAAAAATTTGATGAGTATCGGCAAAGAAAAACTTCAAACTGGCAATTTAAGTATATGTATTATTATAGCTGTTTTCATAAATTTTTGGACATCTGGTGAAAAATTAATTGTTTGGCCGATTCGATAAGTTATTGATTTCAGCATAATAGTGTAACATTCTCTATGAACATTATCTATAAATATAGTCTAAAGCCAAGTACGTATACACGGTTTGTTAATTAAACTTATATGAAACATATAAAATACTATATTCAAGGCTTTAAATGACCTCTATTTTCATGTCCTAACCAAAGTAACATCTAAAATCTTAAGATATTTTATATCATTTAGGTTTAGTTGACGTATTTTTCTTTCAGGTGACGAAACTTTGAGAACTCGACTTATTGAAGATCTGCTAACACTTAAGTGTTTAGTAATTGTTCAAACTGATGACCTTTCTAAATTGTTTTCGACTATTTTCCAGCAAATATGTGACTTATATCGATATTGGTTATCTGATTATTATCAGTTAAAATTGTTACTACTACACTATAAATAGGTCATTTAAAGCCTTGTAATATTTTATTTGTTTAACATAAGTTTTAATTTGCAAATTCAATTCAAAACGTATGTATGTATTTGGCTTTAGACTATCTCCATAAATAATAAACGTCACACTGATCATACCGAAATCAATAACTTATCGAATTAGCTAAACAATCATTCGGTCAATTTTTCTAAAAGTTATAAGAACAGTTGTAAATAATATACTTAAATTTGCTGATTCGAGGTTTTTTCTTGCTAGCACTTATATAGTCTAACCTTGATATAATCATTGGATTGGTAAAAAAAAATTTTATGTAACCCAAACCTTTCAGCACAAATTGATAATTATGATAGTTTTACCAAAACAAGATTATATTTAATATTATACATGTACATACCTAGCGTCAAATTTTGTTCTTTTTTAAGTAAATTATTAGTTCAAACTGTTATACAAGCCATTTCTTCGTCAAGCATCCTCTCTGCTAATGTAAGCCTTCTAGGGGGATTATATTTTGGTTCAATTATATTAAAAAGATCCTGAACAAATGGATTATCAATTACAGAAAATGAAATCCCAGCACAAACGAAGGCTTTAAGTAAAGCTTTGTTAATTTCATTATTTCTCTCATCTAATACAGATTCTAAAGGTTTAGAGGATGGTGATGCACTTTCATCGTCACTATGGTCGGTATCCTTTATATTATCATTTCATTTTGCGACTTAAACTAGCCAATGCTGCCTTATTTTATTGGAAACATTGCCTTTGCAATGCAGAGCCAAGTGTGATTCCAAAACTAAAGGTCTGCCTCGTTTCCACCTTTCTTTAATACAGTATTGACAATTTGCATTATAATAGCCTTTACCATCAGATTCTCTATGAATAAAATAATTCCAAATATCAGATCTTGGACGTTCACCTTTATTTACTGATTTATTTTGAGAACTTATTTCCTCATTTTGTTTCTCGACGGTTTCGCTATTTTGTGATATATCAAAAATATTTTCACATAAATCTTCTATTACAAGCTTTTGTTAATAATTATAAAAAAAAAAATAACGAAATTGATGAATTTTATAAATATTTATAACATTATTTATTTTTATTTTTAATCATTTGAGATGACATTTGTTCTTTATTTTTTATAAAAAAAAGGTTTAGCCCACGATTTTACATAAACTAACTAATTATGAAAAACAAAATTATAAAATTTTAATTATTAGATGCAATTAGAGATTCTGATCAGAAAAATCTTTTTTATCAACTAAGCGAGAAAACGTTACTAATAGGTATAGGGCAAAAATTAATATTATCACGATAA